TGATATGCAAGAAAATCATCACTGCCAATGTACTAAATCTAATAAGAACAAAGAGTTCATATGCACAACAATGCAATGTCGAAAGAACTCACATATATGTGAAATATGTTATCTTTAATAATTAACTTAAACTCTACTGCCAATGTACTAAATCTATTAGTCTTTTTAGAAGTTTTGAATATTGGAAGCTTATAAACCTTGCACACATTTACAAACATTATGTCAAATGGCTTCCTACCTTTCTTTGGTCTCATAGGTTTAATCAGGTTCTTTTTTTTTTCTCTCAGTGAATGACTTGGGGAGGGATATGAGGGACATAGCATTTGCAAGTGCTCTAGAAGCTTTTGGTGGAAGACATAAATAAAAAAAGTAACTTGTATTTTGACAATAGCTATGTAAAGACCGGGGTTACTCATAGAACTCACAAATTATAGCATGTTGTGTACCCAACATAAAAGTGTGTATCTAATTTGGAACCAACTACTTTGGTGATTAGACCAAAAATAATAGTACGAAAGGAGATATTTCTATTGGCTTTGGAAATTAGATACTCCTCATATTGTCTTGGTCTGTTCCTATTCATGTGTAAGAAGCTTGGATGGCCTTTACTTGTCTGGTTTAGATCCCTCAAAGATAGGCAGGCCCCAAAGATTGTGCAATACTATGAAGTAAAATATTACACTACATGGCATGTTTGTAAGGGTGGAATTGAAATTACTTTGTTGGCGACTTGGGCAAGAATGATGATAATGATCATGCCAAACCAAGAAGATAGTAGCACTTATGCACTTATAGTGGTAACATTTTTGGGCCTAAGGGGGATCTTTTGCTTTTTTTTTCAACGCGTTGGAGGACCCCTGCTAAGTGCTAAACATCTCCATGATTTAATTTAAATGTTTTGATTAATTAGCAACATGTATTTAGCCAAAGGACTGGAATATGCTTCTCATCAGATAGGTCCGATTTCCCCAATTTTACACCAATCTCTTACTCACGGGATGTGGAACAAGTACATAAATCTTACAATCAAGTTGAGCATAAGCTTAATGACAGATTACTACATAACAACGTGCAATGTGTAGGGGTTATGAAGGCCTAGTTCACTGATGAACTTTCATATTAACATTTATTCCAATGTGTAACCAAATCTCACAAATCGTATGGCAAAGAGAGGAGGGCTTACCATGTTCGATCCGGTGGAAGAATGGGTACAATCTTCCGTGAATAGCCCCAAACGTGATTCTGATGAAGTACGGAAAATTCTCCTTCGCCGTCTACGACTAGCACAATATCTCTACTTATGCAGGGATTGAGATCGACGGTGGCAGAGACATCTACACAGAACAACGGCCAGCGTAGGACGTCGTGATTCTGATGAAGGAGCTATTTTCTCCGTTTTGGGCAAATCGTTGAACAGCGAGGAAAGGTTTCCTCGGTTAATAGAACAAGATCTGGCTCAAACGGAACAAGATATGGCTCAAACGAAACAAATATCTGGCTCAAACGGAACAAGATCTGGGTTGCAGCTTCACCACGCGGGGTTAGAAACATGAATAAGGGAATCATCGCTGTAGATGATGGGAATGAACAGAGAAGTGAGAGCTGTCGAAGGAAGAGGGACGAAAACGAACGAACGGGACAAGAAAACGGTAAGGCGTGCAGAGAATTTGAGAGAAAATTACAGAGTTGTGCAGAACACTTTGCACTGTAGATCAGATTCGAGTTAATGGGAATTCACGGGGTAGTTGAACTCCATTTTGGGGCATTAACTCGAATTGCAACTCGAGTTACAATCCGAGTTTTTTTTACCCGAAGGCTAATTTGGGCCCATTTTGTGATTTGAGTTGGGCTGATTCAAGCGGAGTCTACGAAGTGAACACGCCCTTAGTATTCTAAATATAATGTGATTACATGACTATGATATTTTTTTTAATAATTTACGTCTCGTGACATATTCAATCCAATCCTAAACGATGTGGCAGTTCCCTTTAAAGTCCTACCACATAGAACTCCAGGCCCAAACTTGTTTAGGAAGCATCATGGAGCCCAAACAAATGCTACTTCTTGGGCTGAGCTTACCAAGCCTTCCCATTGGACCGGGCTCAGTTAGGTCTAGCTGAAACAAAATAATAATTGGGAAACCCAACCCATGAGAGTTGGGGTAGAATTGGACCCGCCTATCCGGTTAGTACGAGGCCCAGGGGGGGAACAAGGCAGTACAAGACGGTGCTCGGATGTGGTCATAGAGAGCGCCCGTGAGGGGCAAGAATAGTACATGAGCCCGTGACTCCTCTCAAGCGTGATTTGACCGTCTTTCGTTGTCTGTTTGTCTCGTGGGTTTCTTTTTTTTTTTTTTTTTAATTATTCTCTTGGGACTCACATGCAACTCAGGACAAATTTCTCGTACGTTGCAAAATCTCTCCATCTGGATTTCGCCTTTTATTCCCCAATTTGCCCTTCTCTCTCTTGTCGTGCACTCCACCCATAATTTTATTGGATTTTTTTATTTGTATTTCAAAATTACACAAAAGGTATACGCCACCAAGTTTTATTTGATAGGTAATTAATTACATGTAGAGCTTTGATCAATCAAAATGTTATTTTGACTAAAGAAATGACATTGTAACAAATGAAAATTTAGAGAATACTTACTGACTAAATCTAAAATACATGTTACAAAACGTTTTAAAAATTTTTGTTTATTATTATTAGTATAATTATTATTATTCATGATAATGAGCTTTTTTAATTTACTAATGGTAAAGGATTGATTTTTTTTTTTTTTTTTTTTTTTTTTTTTTTTTTTTTTTACAAAATAACTTCAGGGTACTTGACGATTAGTGGCGGAGCTTTTTTTTTTTTTTCAAAATGAATGTTAATTAAACTAAAATTTTAAACTAAATTATAAGGTAGCAACTTTTTACCTTCATTTAACTTCCTGTTTGAACTAAGCTTGTAATAGAGTTAAATTTTAAACTTTAACTTTAGATTCTAAAATGTTTGTGAATGCAAATGGAAGTATAATTGTTTTGTTGTTTAGTTGATATTTTAATTAAATAATAATATATTTAAAAGTCAAAGTTTAAGGTGTAGTTGATATATATATATTTTAAAAAGTTAGGTAGAAATAATAATTGAAAATTGAGGGGGGGAAAATAACAAAGAAAATGTTAAGCTTTTTAACATTTGGGCTAAACTATAAAAGGAGTGCTTGCCCCCCATCCAACATAACTAGTGAATCTAAAATTATTAAGCAAAGAATATTAGTTTTTTTAACTATGTAATATATTTTTATGTATAACAAAACCGCATAATGGGATAAAAGTGACGTGTCACTTTTCAGCTACATCTCTATTTAGTTAGACACTTAAAAGTAAAATGAGAGCTTTAACTTTAAAACATACTCTCCCTTTACGAGAGATTAAAGTCAAAACACCTTACAATTTCAACTATGAGGTAAATCTAGCTCTCGTAGAGATTGCTCAATGATAGAAAATAAAAGAGGAGGTATACCAAATGACTAAATTTTTGAATGAACCAAAAATAGTTAATAGAATAGAGAAGTTTATCCCTGAACGTATAATTAATATCGCACTTTCAACTTTTTCTTTGATTTCACCTGAATTCCACATACTTTGGTAGTCAATAATAATTAACTTATAAGGTGAGTTGAAGAATATTATCTTCAGCTATGGTTTTGGGGCATGTGGTAGGCAAAATCTCACATGTTAAGATGATCACATCTGATCATCTTGTGGGATGACTTGAAATTTCACTTAAAAAAAGAGCATTAACACTTATCATGTTATTTGGCAGTTAATAATAACTTGATTCTAATTCACAAATCCAGGGAAATGAGTTTTACTTGTCTTTATTTTAGGTAATGTAAAAAAGAATAATAAAGAAAAAAAAAAGATTGTTGAAGGGATATGTCTAAATAAATAGGCCAACCCCACAGTCCCATATGTAATAAGTGGTTAACCTAGAAAGCCAATACTTGTGGGGACGGAGTTATTGATGGCTTGCAAGACATAGATGATGGCTCGTACTAACTATATTAATTATAGCAAAATATAGAACATATATTTGTTGTCAGAGTTTTCTGTTGGGATAAGAAGTGAGGAGGAGAAAGGAAAAAAATATAAAAATAAAAAAATAAAAGCACAAAAAGAAACATGGTAATTTCTCCTTACGGGAGTTGCAAATTCTTTTAATATATTTTCCATTTATTTTTGTGCTTTATGCAGATACAATACCCATTAAAAACGAAAGAGAATAAAAATAAAAGGAAGTATCATAAAAAGTAACAAACAAAAGGTGTGCTATTGAGGAGCATATTAGAATATTTAAAGGGTTGTTAAACTCTTTTGTGCTCTATATTTGTTTATCAAAATATATATCATCCATTTTGAATATTTTTTAATTCTTAAATTAAATTTATACTTTTTTCTAAATGAAATGTTGATATTACTCACTTCAAAATGATGACTTTACTTTATCAAAAATTTTTTTTTTTTTGACTTTACTAGATTTGAGATAAACTTGATTATAATTAGAAAGAGTAACGTATGATGACTTTACTTTATAAAAAAAAAAATTGACTTTACTAGATTTGAGATAAACTTGATTATGATTAGAAAGAGTAACGTCGTCATTTAAGCGGTCTAAACTAGTAATTGACCAAGCGTATAGATAATATGAAATCGAAATTCTTGAGAAAAAAAATAAAATGTTGGATACAAAATAATAAATAACCAAAAATGAAATGAAATAAAATAAAATAAACGAAAAGGTAACTAAATCGGAAAGAGAGGGCTATTTTGGTAAAAATAAAGAGCTGGAACACTGTAAAAAGAATCGGTCGTTGGGGGTCGATATCGCAGACAGGGTCACAGGAGCCTTTTCTGGCGAATCGCGCCAATTATATTGAATAAAAAAATTAAAAATAAAATAAATAAACGTAAAAATAAAATAGCTTCTTCTTCCGATACAACGTTCATATCCCAAGCTCTTGTCTTTCTCTCTCTATCTCTCTAACTTTCTCTCTCATTCACAGTCACACATTTCTCAGAGCTCAGAGGAATCAGTGAAGAAAAAGGAAGCTTCGTTCTTCCACATTTTCCTCTTCAATGGCCGCTAAGCCCTACGAGGAGGTAGCTCTTTCTTTTTTCGCACATTTTAGGTTCTTAATTGAGCTATTTGTTGTTGAAATTCGCAAACTTTCTGAAGATTTGGTTCTGCGATCTTGCTTTTCACTCGCATTTGAAGTTTTTACTCATTTCGTTTAGATATTAAATTTATGCGTTTTAATTCCTTTTTGACGCAATTGTGGCTGGATTTTTTTGAAAGAGTATGTGATACGATTCGAATGAAAATCTTTGTTTTTCTTTTAGCCTCCACTAGATTTGCATGGTTAGTTTAGGGTGATTATAGAATAATTTTTGTGCTTTTTGTTGTTGTTGTTGGTTTTTTTTTTTTTTTTTTTTGCTGAGGATGTTTGACCTGGATTTCTCGCATTCAATTTAATTCCCTCGCCCTTGGAATAAATAAATTCTTTTTGTTCCAATTAATCAAGGTTATTGTACATACTAGCAATTCTGGTCCATTCAGAGTATAAATTCTAATTTTGATTGAATTTTAAGGAGGAAGTATTTAGTTATAATCGACCTTTAGCTGTGATGGGTTTGCTTAAATGCCATTAAAATACTGTAATTCTGACTCTTTTCCCCACTCTCCACCTCTCTTAAAAAAGGAATGAAAATGAGTAAAGTACTAGTCAGGTCACAACTCACAAGTGGGGAAAAGTTCTCCTAAGCTTTCAAAAGTCCAAATGGGTACATGTTATTTTCTTTAACTAGAGATCGGATTATCTAATTTCATATTGTGAGTAAATCTATTCATTTCTGCACGGCTTTCTCTATACTTGGTTTGTTATACATGATTTTCGCATGCAATTTATCTACTTTGTATGAGGCTTTAGTCGTTAAGTTGATTGCTGTTACTGTTCTTAAATTTTCACCGTTCTAGATTGAGCTGGGATTGTTTTTGACCAAAATAAAAGATAATGTGCCACAGTAAATCATAATTGATTTTTGCATGCGTCGATCTAACACATATTTTGTTGCAGGGAAAACCGTTTGTCCAGGGAATTGTGGATGAAAGCTGCAACCTACTTGTTAACTATTCAGGAGTCAAGATAGTAAAACCAAGCTTTGATGAGGTCAAACATCAGTGCTCTCAAGGTATATGTTTTTTTTGGGCATAGAGTTGTCTTTTTTTGTGAATCTAGTTAAATTAGAGCATCTCCAACCCTTAAGAGCAACTCCAACCCACACCACAATTGTGTGGAAAAGGTGAATTGCTGCTGGGTTTCATCTCCAACCCAGCGACATTTTTTTATGGCAATTTGCCGTGAAGGGTGTTGAATGAACAGTGGAAACACAACAATTCACCTTTTCCACACCATTTTGGTGTGGGTTGCAATTGCTCTTAGTTTATCCGCGTAAGCATCTTAGATGGCCATCTTGACTTGATTTTCAGATGTTTTGCCTATTCTTGTTGAAGAGGCTTCACTTCCCAAAAGCTTAAAATACCCCAAAGAAAACTCACATGTAAGTTACGCTTTGTGCTGTTGCCTATGCTGCGTCTTTTTCACAGTTGTTGATGAAGATTTTTCTTTTTGCTTTCTTTGACGGCATTTTGAAGTTGAACCCTTCATTCTTGCAGACCCAAGATGTCTACAGTATATCAGTCTTGCCCCAAGAGAGCAACAATTTACAATGTGCTTCTCAATTGGCGTTCTTACGAATTCTAGAAGTTCCTAATCCACCCATAGATCAGGTCTGCATGGACGCAGAATTGAACTGCCAGAACTGCATTGATTTTCAGATGACTAGTGCAGATACCTATTCCTCATGTGTTGTAGATATAGATATGGAAAGGGAATCTTTGCAAGTACCTGAATCCAATGAGAAAACTGTTGAAATTTTGAAAACTGAGAGTGCCCCAATTGTAAGTTTTTTCATCTGTCCGTCTTCTTGTAGTATCATTTAGATCTTTAAAATTAGAAACTACAGAGCAATTGCAGACACCTGAAAATTTCAAAATCGTTTTAAACTCATCCAAATATTATTGCTGTTTCAGATTTAGATTGCTTATGTTTTTCCTCTGTCTCCAATGTTTCCATTCGTTGCTTATAGCACTTGCAGAAGGCATTGAGGAGACAGGCAAGCATAAATGTCGGCGAGAAACTTATCCAACTCCTAGTGAATTACGGAACTACAAGTCCAAGAGGTACATAAGAATTTTTAAGCTATCTGTTTGAGCAGCTTCACTGGGAGCGACAATTCCCTTTGCTTTGTTCCACTTTACCTGTAGTACAAAACATTAGATATTCTTCCAGTCATCAAACATCTTTAAGGCTTTCATCTGTGATAGTTAGATGGACATGATGCCTTGAAAACCGAAGTATATAGTGAATTTCTTGCTTCCCTCAAAAGATGGTTTTTAGAAATCATTTCTATTTTCTCTGGAAATACCACAAAACATTTAATAGTTTTTTTTTCCCCTCCAAAAAAGCCCGACATATTACTTGAATTAAAAGATGGTTCTCATTGTTCATAGTTTCAACAGATAAAACTGACAGGGTTCACGAAGTAACAAACAACCATTGGAGAAGATATAAACGAGCTACCTCATTTGATTCAAGGAAAATTGTGCTGCTGTTCTCAATCTTGTAAGTGTTGAATTGACTAGAAAAATTAGTATCTTACAATTGTAGTTCTTAAAGTCTTTGTATTTATTTATTTAGCATATCATCAATTTGGTAGAAAACTTAAATTTTTACAAGTAGGAGGTAACGAACTTGCAATTCAATGAACAAAACACGCACTGGTACAAACGGGTTCCCCTAGTACATGCAGTTCCTTTAATCAATACTTTCATCCTTTTTTTTTTTCACCTAACCCATGAAAGACATTAACGGACAATAAAGAGCACGTCCATTCTGCCTGACTTATGGGGCTATAGCCCCACCAGACACAAACTTATGGGGCTATAGCCCGATCGGGCTAAATAACATTTTCCAAAAATAAATAAGATACTGTTTAAGTAGAGGTTTTTTCATGCTTTTTTTTTTTCGGTCTCCTTTTTCCAGGTCAAGTGTGGGGACTTTAGTATTGATATATCTGACACTGAAAGTCAGACAGCAAATTGCTGATGGCATCATTCATGTCTGACGATCCACCTTTCCAATCCAGCCCACCTGATTCATGTCCCAACTTTGTCTTAAGTTTTCTCTGGAAAACTATAGCTAAAGTTTTACTTTTTGATGATGTAAATATTGTGATTTGATAGAGCTTTATAGTGTTTGGCCGAGTGGTGATGTGTTTATTTTGTGGTTGATGAGTTTTCCTTTTGCCTTCTCACGCGTGCCTTAAATTGCTTTCTGGAGTTATCTTTTGAATACTGTTACTAACTACACCTCCTTTATGATGTAAATATTCATATTTTTTTTATCGAGTTTTCTTTGTAAATTGGTAATTTCAGAGACATACAGAGTGGAATATGGCAGTTTGCAAATATGAATTTCTGACCTTTTTCTTTTTTTCCCCTGCATTTTAGGGTTATTCAGAAGGTATACATTGTTTTAATCGTTCAAAAGTACACATTGGATTGTGTTGTATTTAATAGGCAAATCTTTTTGATAGGTGAATGTATATATTCTCTTGGTTATCTATGATTTTGACTACGAAAATGATCAAAAACCCTAAAGTGAAAAAAAGAAGAAAAATAATTAAAAAAATATATTTAAATAAAAAACCAAAAATGAAACTAGCATCTTTTAATTTTTGGATTTTTTTTTTTTTAATTTTTAGACCTTTTTAGACTTTTCCCCCCTACTGGTAGGATGCTTAATGAGATTTTAAAATCTAACAGTAGCGAGAAGATGAGCGCATATTGGAAAAATAGGATTAGAAGCACCCACTACTCCTCTTTTATATCTATGGAGAAATTGGATTTAAATAGTCATTGCACCCAATACTCCTCTTTTATATCTATGAAGAAATTGGATTTAAGCAGAGTTATTCCAGAATAATCACGACCACCGGTGATAAAAATGAAAGTGAGAGAAACATAAAGGAAGCCAAGGAAGCCCCCACACAAGAGATTTGTCAGAAACCTCCCACTTCTCGCGCCGACAGAATCCGTAATGCTTCCAACTCTAACACCAGTCGCCCCAAAGACACCCATCGCCCCTCCCCTGAACCATATCAACGAGAGCGCCGAGAGTCTAGAGCAAGGCACCACTATACTCCAGCTCACCAGATCTGTGCCTCCATCGCCCATGGACATGCCTATCAACGACTAACCGGACCTGTATGACCTTAGCCACCCTCTCAAGGGCCGACGACTAGCCGTTAGCAGTGCCAAACTCCGGCACTAACTAGAGATCCTAAACTCAAAATTCTAACCGCATCTCTTGAGAGAGAGATGAAAGGTATCTTTTCGAATTACTTTTTTCCTGTTTTATTTCTATTAATATAATTTCTTTTAAATGTATCCTTACTTCACTTTTTCTGCCAAGGCTCATATACATTGCCATTGTTTTTTTTTATGTGTTTTTTTCAAATATATTTTTTTTCCCTCTCATGCTCCTTTTACGTAATTTGTTACAAATGAGTCTACTTAATTTTTTTTTCATGTAATATTCTTTATATATGAAAAGTGATCCTTATAAATTTTTTTTTTTCTAATGGACCCACTAAAACAATTTTTTTTCCCAAACATGGTTTTTTTGGACAGCTTTTTCGGGCAACACTTGCAACTTTTTTTTTTTTTAATTTATCACGCTTAAGGTAATTTCTCTTAAATATGTCTCTATTATGTTTTTAAATGTTTTTCTCTATATGATCCTTTCAACTATTTTTTTTTCATATGTCTTGCCTAATTAGCTTTTTTTTTTTTGTTTGATTTACCTGTTAAAATATATATTTTTTCTCACACATGTTCTAGTAAAGTATACATATGTGATATTTGACCAAAATGCTAGTTTTGATTGGAACGTTTATAAATTTTTAGCATGTTTTTTTACTATATATAAAAGCCGCAAAAGCGGCTCTCCCCGTTTTGTCCTTTTTTTATGTTTCTGATTTTACTTTTCTTCCCTTTGGTTTTTTTTTTTTTATCCTCTTTCCTTTTTTATTTGTTTTTTAGTCCCTCTTATTTCATCTTATCATTTTCCTCACCATACTTTCTTATATTTTTTTTCCTTCTTTTCAAATAGAGTCCTCATAAGTATTTTTTCCCTAATAGTGCTCTTGAAATAATTTTTTCTCATTTATGTCCCTATCTAAACTTTTTATTTTTATTTTTTATGAAACCATCTCAAATGTATTTTTTATATGTGCCTAAATAAATAATCTCCATCGTATATATAACAAAAATTCTTTGTTCAATGGATCTCTCTCTGTTTTTTTGCCTATATTTTGCTTTTTGCTTCAGTTTTTAGTCCTTAACATCTTTTGGTCTTTATTTTTTCCTCCTTACTTTCTGCTACCTTTGTTTTGTTAATTTTCAAATGAACCTTGTTAAACATTTGTTTTTTCTAATTTACTCTTGTTAAAATAAATTTTCTCAAATGTGTAATTATTGAATCATTTTTTCTTGTAATTTTTTTTTTTCTAAAAGTAACCCTCGTAATTGTTTCTCCCCAATTGCTCTCTTGAAATAATTCTTTCTCGGATGTAGCCTTGTCTAAACATTATTGTCATACAATTTTCTCAAATATTTTTTTATGCGTACCATAAGTAATTTACTTTCTATTTTTTTCTTTTTTCCTCTTAAATGTGCTGTACTAAGCTCTTTTTCTTTTCTTTTTTTCCTCCTAAACATTATGTTTTATTTTTTCCCCCCTAAACTCAATATTATGAGAGTAATGAATAAGAACAACTTAAATGTTAAAAGAAATTTTAGATCTTCATATAAAAATTGTAAGAAATGCATGCAGCAAATAAAAAGCTCTCAAATTACCAAAAAAAAAAACTAGCACAAATAAATAAATACTTTTTTGGATAAATTACAAATTTTTTTTCTATATTATAACTCTTATAACACTTTTTCTCCTGATCTTTAAAACGTAATATACGTTCTCTCTGAACAATTAAATATTAAAAAAACCTCTCCATTAAATTTTTAACAGAAATTAACATTTAATCAATTATTTTAGGGGTATTTTGATAACTCTATGGTTTGAATATAATGGATTTAAAACTAATTTTAATTAACTTTTAACTATTAAACATCCATCATTAATTGTGTCATTAGGAGTGAAGAAGATTTATTTTTTTAGTTACATTGTATGTAAATTAGACTTAAAAAATTTGAGTGGGTGGTTAAAATAGTAATTGTGCTCTAAATTATTTAACATCAATTATTATTTATGTGACACATATTAAAAACTGTTAAATTTCTTAATAAAAAAGATATTTTTATTATTATTTTATTATTAAATAAAAATGAATGTTACGTTTTAAAGATTTCTTTCGGACGAATGAAAAAAATTTTGTAATTAATTCAATTTTTTTTTTTAACGTCCTCTCTTCTTTTTATTGCATTTGTCGGTTTCTTGTTCCTATTCTCGAAAGTTTATCAATACGGTTTCTCTTATTAATTCTTGCATTGGGAGGAGTGTCAGGCTTTCTACGCTCATTGCTTGTATTGGGGGGAGGGTCAGGCTTTTTTCCCCTTTTTTTTTTTTTTTTTTTTTTTTTTTTGCTTTTTGACTTTTTTTTACCTTGTTTTCCGACCTTTAGGTATTTTTTTATTTACATTCTTATCCTTCATGATGTTCGTTCTATTCATTAAATTGTTTTTTCTTTTACTCACCGTAACTTTTTCTCGTCCAAAACGCACAACTTTTGTGCGTTGCTTTTTAAAAAAAAAATACTTTTATCCCTTTTTTTCTTTTTTTTTTTGGGCTAATTTTTTAACCCTTATTTTTCTTATCTTCTCTTGCATTACTTTTTTTTTCTTTTTTTTTTCCTTAATTCATTTATCTACTATAATTTGTTTAAAACCGTTTATTTTTTTTATTTCTTTTTAACTCCATTTTTATACTTTACTTATTTATTTATTTTTTAATTTTATTTGTCTACTATTATATTTTACAAATGATTTTTATCTTTTTTTTATCTTTTTTTTTGTGCTTTATTTTTTTCTTTTATTTTTTTAGCTTCATTATTTATTATACTGTAGTCTTTTACCCCCACTACTTCATAGTTAATTGTTGCTCTCTCATTTTCTCTACATTTTAATTTTATCACCTTCTCATAGATTTCTTCAACTTCTAATCTCAATAATCCTCACCGGAATAATTTCTTTAATTATGATCAATTATGACTTCAATTACTGTTATTTGTGTATCAAGTTATTTTGTCATAGAATAGAAAAGTTACCATAGTCATTTACACTAATATTCTCCTAATTTTTATTCTCTTTTTTTTACCTCAAATCTAAACTTTCTCATCAGAATAATCTCCTTGCTCAAGCTCTTTTTTTTTTCTTTTCCGTTTTGTTATCTTATAATTTAGAATATTTCATCAATTTAATCTATAAGCTTTTCACTTAAACTACTATTTATATACACTTTATTTTTTATATTTTTCTTTTTTTTTTGTATTCTATGTTATTAAAATTTTAATTACGACTCCATAAGTGTATCGCACGTAGCTATACTAGTATTTTTTACCAACATATTCCTACTCAAATGCTTTTATTACAATCCTCTAAATATGTTAGATTTTTTGACTAATTTTGTTGTATTTTTTTACAATGAAATAATTTTCTTGAAAATATCCTTAATTAAATATTAGATTAACTCTCTCTTTTTCCGTCTAATTTTAACAGAAATTACAACAAAGGGGAGTTAAGTGGAAACAATTCAAAATTCAGGGGGTAAAGTGAGAATTTTTAAAGTTTATGAGACAAACTGGGAATAACTCTAAAGTTTAGAAGCATCAATGATAATAATCCTTAAATATTTTCTACTTCTAATACACTCTAATTAGTTTTCTATTTGATTCACTTTTAAATATGTTTTATATTTGAAAAAATAACAACTGAAATAATTATTCTCACATCTTTTTCCTTTCCATATGTATACTCTAATTAATTTTCTCAAATATGACCTTAGTTATACATCCTTTTCTTTTCCATATGTGCACCCTGTTTAGTTTTTTATTTGATTTTATGTTATATAAATAGGATTTTATTTTTATTCCTGTTCTAACTTAAAATAATTTAATGTAATCACCATTTGAAGTACTTTTTAACTTGAATTATCTTAAAATAAAATTGTTTTAATTTTAATTTTAATTTATTAGTTAAACAAATTGATAGAAATTCTTGATAGTTCCTACTAACGCACTTAAAATTAATTTAAGACATCTTTTAAAATATATCGCATATTAAATTTATGAAAATGAGAAAGTATTATCTTTAAAATAAATTTAAAATAATTGACACTAAATTGTAAACAGAACTTTACTATAAGTGAAATTAATTTTTTATTGGATTTTACCCCTCGCGCGCTTCACTATTAGAATAAAAAGTTCAAAAAAAAGGTCCAGAGTGTCTGTAACTTTGGGAAATAGTATTGCTTCGTATTTATACATAGTCCCTATAGAATCCAAGTCTATCTTTCTAATATACTATTATTAACTTATATTTTTATTAAAAAAAAACAAGAGAGTTTCTCCCATAGTATTAGAAAAATAAAATTACTGATATTTTCATTTTTCAGCCGTTTTCAACCGTAAAATGTATATAAAAAATTATATGTTCTGCATATTTTTTAAATCTCATTTAATTTTGATAAAATTTAACAGTTAAAAACTGATCATACCGGTAAGACGGTCTACTAAAAACAGTAAAAAAAAAACTTTGTTTTATTCGGTACCTCATTAGTAAGCATATGAGAGGAGAGGTCAATAAACGGAAATAGTAAAAAATAGGCCAATATGAAAAGCTTAAAAAAGTATATAGGCCAACTTTTAATTATAAAAATTAATAGGTTATAACTTATCAAGTTATGGTTCATAATCAGATAAGTTATGGACAAATTTGTTAAGTTATAATTAATAACCAGATAAGTTATGAATAAAAATAATAATTTAACCTATTTATTAACTTACGTAAATTATTAACCTATGAATTTTAATTCATCTCAAATCTTAACATATTTTCCTCGTTCTCTCCCGTCAATAAAATTCTAGTAAAATTAAAAAGAGAGACCCCACCCAGAGATGGAAAAACTTCTATTTTACCGAAAGAATGCCTTCTAAAAGAAACCCTCAAGATTTCCCCCACGGGCCCACCCACTTGGCCATTCTTCTTCATATTGAGCTTCTGAGACTGAGAAGAAGAAGAGAGATAGATGCTGAACTTGGAGAGAAATCGTATTTTCTTCAACAGAGATTCCATTGGATTTGGAGGTATGTGTTCTCCTCCGTCTCTGTTCAAGATTTTGATAGCTCCCAATCATTCTAAAGACTCTCCAAATAATAGCGCCCATAACAAGACGAATACTAAAACCACTCATACCAAAAACCATTGGAAAAGCTTTGAACAAAAACCACTCATAACAACTCTTGAAGATGCTTTGAACGGGTTTGATGAAATGCTCCGATTGCGTCCTCTGCCGTCTGTTGTTCGTTTCAATCAATTGTTGGCCCAAATTGCCAAAATGAAACTCTATTCTGTGGTGGTCTCTCTGTACAACCGAATGGGACTTCGTAGTTTATCAACTGATGACTATACTCTCAGCACTGTGATTAATTGCTTTTGTCATCTTAACCACATGGGCTTTAGTTTGTCTGTGTTGGGGAAATTCATTAAATTTGGTTATGAACCAGACGCTGTGACCCTAACGAGTCTAATAAAAGGGTTTTTGCGACAAGGAATGGTCGACGAGGCAGCTGAATGCTACCACAAAATGACAAGGGGAGGTGTTAAGCCCGATATCATTACTTACAACACATTGCTAAATGGGTTTTGTAAAGTGGGCAACACTACTGCAGCTGTTCAGTTGCTTAGGAACATGGAAAAACATAGGAACTGCAAGCCTGATGTAGTTTCTTATAGTACAGTCATCAACAGCCTCTGCAAGCACAGACGAATTGCTGATGCTTTGAATCTCTTATCGGAAATGACTAGTAAAGGTATCGTTCCAGACGTTGTTACTTATAACACGTTGATTCACGGAGCATGCACATTAAGCCAGCGAGAAGAGGCTATGAGGTTATTTAATGAGATGGTAGGTCGAAATATCACCCCTGATGCACACACTTTCACTGTCTTGGTTGATATGCTAAGCAAAAGAGGGATGGTTGCAGATGCACAACATATAATGGTGATTATGGAACAGAAAGGCTTCAACCCTGATGTGGTAACCTATACTTCACTTATGGACGGTTATTGCTTGCGAGGAGAAATGGATGAGGCAAGGAAAATATTTGATATGATGCTTGACAAGGATTGTGAACATGATCTTCATGGTTATAGCATTTTGATCAATGGTTATTGCCAGAATAGGAGGATTGACGAGGCCCTTAGTTTGTTTGAAGAAATGCCATCCAAGGGACTTATTCCAAACGTGGTAACTTACAGCTCTCTTATTGGTGGCTTTTGTAAAGTAGGGAAAACTCAGACTGCTTGGGAGCTACTTTGCAAGATGCAAGATTGTGGTCCGATTCCAAATATTCAAACATATAGTATTTTACTCGATGGCCTATGCAACAATGGACAACTTGAAGAGGCGGTGTCACTATTTCAAGATATGGAAGAGAAGAAGTTACCAATCAATATCGTGACCTACACTATCCTCATTGGAGGGTTGTGTAAAGCTGGCAATTTGGTGGCTGCAAAGGATCTCTTTTCTCAATTACCATCCAAAGGCCTTCAACCTAATGTTAGAACATATCACGTAATGATCAGCGGACTTATTCGTGGAGGCCTTATGGATGAAGCCACAAGCTTACACAATCAAATGGAAAAGAATGGATACCCCTCAAACAATGGCACTTTTAATTTAATGATCCAAGGATCTGTCCGTAATCACGATCTATTAAGAGCGGTGCAGCTTGTTAATGAAATGGGGAAAAGGGATTTATATGCAGATGTTTCAACTGTAGATATGTTTCTTGATTTAATTTCTAGTGGGAAATTAGATCCTTCTTTGCGATCAATGTTCCAAAAGGATTTATGAGGTGTAAGTCATTTGAAAAGGGTTTTAGCAGGGAAGAAATTCTTTGTAAGTGTATTTATTATAACTCGAGAACTTTTTCTGAACTTTAGTGCCTTGGATATGTGATATTGTATTGATTGTAACAGTTTTATTTAGGATGAAGTTGTAGATCGGGGGTAGAAACCAACAACTATCTGTATTTATGTGTGAAAAACTTGTAAGCTGCTGCGAACATATGTTAGGGAACTCCTTGAATCCCATATTGGATTACCAAATTAATTCTTTTTTATTTTATTTTTTAAATGTTCCGCTCAAGCCTGTCATTTTCTTTTCATGAATAAATAATTTATGAATGTTTGAATTTTCCAAGAAATTCACCATTCATTCATTCAAGATAAAACTAGTTAAATGTAATCGGAGGATATACTTTTACAATGATCCAAAACGGCAAAATCAATACATTCTGAATAACCACATAATAACGTTAAAAGAAAACCTTTCTGAGAAACAGCGCATGTTCGGTAACTATGTTTTTGAGCGAAAAATTTAAAAAAAAGTAACTCGAGTTACAACTTTATTCGAGTTTATATTTTTTTAAGTTTGAACTCAAGTTTGAACTCGAGTTTGGAACTAAAACTCGAGTTCAAGTTTTCCCTTCAACTCGAGTTCAGAAACTCGAACTCAAGTTAATGAACATGATTTTTTCTATTCTTAAAAATGCTATAACTTTTTCGTTTTAATTCTGATTGAGATGATTTTTTTTTCTATGCGTTGACAACGAAAAGGCGAATAAAACTAGACCCATATACCCTATTAAAATTTTTCATCAGCATTGAGTTTTTATTAAAATACTATCTAAATACAAATTCAAGTTTTGACTTACTCAAACACAAACTCAAAAAAATTATTATCTCAAACCATAACTCAAATGTACATAACCAAACACAAACTCAAGTTACAATTTTAACTCAAGTTATCACTCAAACTCAACTCAAAATTTACACTCAAATACATAACTCAAAAATGTCAAAAGAACATGCCCAAACAACTACCATTCGAATAATATCAAAACCAATATACCTTCTGAATAACCACATAAAAAATGGTTAAAAGAAAACCCTTCTGAGAAACAACTACCATTCGTATCTCATATATTGTGTTTGTGCGGTGGTGATAAGAGCATCTTTCCTTTAGCGTTTTTACGAGAAGAAGAGGCTTGCCTAAAAGACATCTGCTCCCTAAACTTTTTACAATCGGAATTTCTCTTTAAGCCTTTAATTTTGACAAATATCCCTCATAATTGTTATAGAGTACTCCAAATCAATGACTGTTAAAAATTTAGATGGAAATACACCATCGTACTCATTAAGCGAGCACGTTTGAAGGAAAAGATTGAAATTTCGAATCATATTATTCATTCATTTGGAGCACTCTGCAACATTGTTAAATTCGATGATAATTTACCACAACGAAAAATTAAGGGAACGATTTACCAATTCAATTCAAAATTAAAGGGGCAAAAGCACCAAAAAAAAAAAAAGGATTATACTTCTACTTATATTATATGTCTGCTCTCTTTCAAAATGTTGCCAGTAGATCTTTATCTGAAATCTTGGTATATTCTATGAAAATTCTCCGCAATGAATCATTAATACACGATGTTATATGAATTTATGAGGACAATGTTGATGTTTCAAGAATAATGCATCTAAAAACAAATGGAATGGAAATACAACACAGAGGAATATATCATCGTTAGAATGTGGGAACAGAGTTTAGGTCTCTTGGTAAATTTATCCTGCCAGGCTGATCTCAGAATCATCATTGTATTGGTTGAATTTCCGACTGTCCTAACTGATTCTTTATGTCTTGAACAAAGTATGATCCTAGCATGCACAACCTCCCCCTTGCTGCTCTGTCTGTGACGAATTGACAGTTGGCTTCAGGTTTACATCAACCATGTCTTCCTGTTTCGTGGAGGAAAGGGTCTCCATTCCTGGCAAAGCAGCAGCAATTTTGCGGAAGAGAGGCTGCAGATCAGATAAGAAGAGGATCGTGCAATGTGAGTTTGTTTGATGCCTATGATCTTAGCGTTTAGATGCATAAATTTGTTTCTCCTTTTAAAGAAAGATTGAAATATAGGCTATGCAGGATCAGCTTAAGTAATATCTGTTTGTTACCTTGATATTGAATCCTGCTTTTGCACTGGTCTCTATAAACATAACTCCAAACTCACGAGACTTGGAGTCTCCTTCCTCTATAGAAACTTGCCTGTTTAATCAGCAAAAGAATAATGAGATCAAAAGCAGTTCAGTCCCAGATACAGAAATTATCAAAGCAGGAAAATAATGTATTTTTTTCAATAAAAAGAGGAGTGAGGCCATAATTTATCAGTTCGTTCCTAACCTTTTATCAACAAGATCAGTTTTGTTCCCCACAAGAACAATGATAACATCAGTACCCCGTTCTGTATGTACTTCTTCAATCCATTTACTAGTATTCAGGAATGACTGCCTATCTGTATGATGAAAGCATAGCCAGGAAAAACGACATAAACGGATGTGTGATGGAGTGGAATTTTAATTTTGTGAGCCAAGAGTCGCATCTATACAAAATTTCTCAGCAACATAATGTGCACGCTTCCTTTTCATTTCTCTAATCAATTACAGTGATACGTGGTATACCAATTCAAAATCTCTAATGGAGAACCATTTATGGGACAAACTTACTAGGAAGTATAGAAAGTCTACATTTAGCTCAAATTAGAAGAATGCCTGTGAAATACTTACTAGCTACGTCATAAACAATTACTGCAACAGAAGAATCCCTGATGTAGCTTGGAATAAGACTCCTAAACCTTTCTTGCCCTGCAGTATCCCTGCAGAGTAAAAGACATGAAATTTCAGAACACTCAATGTCAAAAGAACGAACAAGGTCATGTGGAAATGAATAAACTTGCGTAGAAGGAAAAGGTTTGCTTTCAAAACGAGTCACCAGACCATCCACATTCCATAAATAACCCATACTCTTTTTTTTTTATCCGAGCATTCTGATCCAAGACCAAGTAGATACAACATTATAAAGCATATATTTTTCACAAAATTTAAAATATTAACGAGCAACCAACCAAAGCTGCAAACGAACTGTCCGATCTTCAAGGTACATTGTTTTTGACAAAAAATCAATTCCGATGGTAGCCTGCAATTTACATAGCAAAACCATTAATCATAGTCTTGTTAGCAAGGAATTACATAGAGGTTAAAACAACATTATTTTTTTCCCAACGGTAGAGAAAAGGTTCACAATCAGCTCACATGTATCACAATATTTATTCAAGATCCTTAGATAGTTAGATAATTCTGTTCTTTTTGGATTTTTTATAGCTAAAGTGAATGTGTATTGTCTTAGGTGGATGGAATTTCAAGTCCCGCTATAATTGTATGATACCTAACGATACCTTTTCAATAAGTTCACCAAAATAACATCTTAATTAAGTATTTCCATTTCAATGTCTCTTCGTATAAGCTACGTCCACCAATAAAGATTTCTACGAACCATCATTTCACAATTTCCTTGAATCATAAATAAAGATAATATATATAAAGACTTGAAATTGAAAATCCATCTCGAATTCTTTCAATTAACACAACAACAAAGATTTCTCCGATCCAATTGGCGACGAACTCATCAAAACCTTGGGAATGAAAATCAAAACAAGGCACTGAACATCAAGATCCAGAAATCAAATATGTTTGCATAAATTATACGCATATGCATATTAAAGAACCGGTGGAATGATCATTAAGATCTAAGAAACAGAAATCAACGACGATCCGTTAAATTGAATAGGAAATTTCGGACAAGAAACCCAATAAATCAACAGAAAAAAAAAGGATCGTTCTCGAATTTGAATGGGATCGAATCGAAGAAATACCTGATAGGTGGTGTCGAATTTGTCGTACATGAAGCGGGTGATGATGCTGGTTTTGCCAACGGATTGATCGCCGAGGAAGACCAGCTTGTATTTGGCCAGAGGTGAGACCGTCGCCATTTTTCTCCGATTCTGAAAATGGCGTTATAGAGAGAGAGAGAGAGAGAGACGAAGGATTGGATCTGAATCTGAGGAAAATTCTGTGCGAGAAAGTATGGAGAGAGGGAAGAAAATGACCGAAAATGGTTGTTTATGTTTTTGAGTCTTAATCTATTTATATATCAGCAGTGGGGAGAAGAAACCGCCAGCCATGACGAGGACGGCAAAAGTCAAAATCTTTGAACTTTTTTCCATGCCCAATTTGCCCCTACCATTTTTCTCAAATTTCCCTTATAAGTTTTCATTTTTTTTTCTTTTTTTAAGGGTCATATGACTTTACATCGGGATATTTATATTTTTATACTTTATATTTCGAGTTTATTTAAAAATTATATCTTTAATTTTTAATCTCATTAATTATATACTTCTAAATTAAATTTAATACTTAAATTTATAACTTTTCACAATCAATTATTGATTTTAAGCATAAAATATATAAAGTACCCTTAAATAAAAAAAAAGAAACAAATTTTAAACTTACGGTTTTAACTTAAAAAATATCCAAAATACTATTGAAATGGGTTCTTTTTATGCTTTCAATTTTTATTTTTAGAATATTGAAAAGTTTTAGTTTTATTTACTATATTTTTCTTAAGGATAGTTTGGTCATTTTAAATGTCAAAATTAATTATTAACAGAGATAAGATATTTATATATAAAATCTTATTTAAAAGTTTACATTTGATGAGATTAAAAATTGAAGATATATATTTTGAATAAACTTAAGATATATATTTAGAAGAGGTTATGTTTTACTTTTAAGCAATAAAAGAAGAGAATTATAAATTAAATCTTTTTAATTAGTGTTTGAATAGTGTATAGAAAAGAACATTTTTATTTCAAATAGCTCTTAAAATTTTTAGTAAATAAGTTAAAAGCTCTTATTATTACAAAAAAAAAATGTACAATAAGAATATGAGTGGAATTTTTATTTTTTATTCATAAATAAAAGGTTAAAAACATAAATAATATTTTTTTCATAAGCTCTTTTTTAATAAGTAGTGTTCCAAAAGAAGTGTCTTGTTCCAAAAAAGTTTTTTAAAGTCAAAAGCACTGTTTGAGACAACTAGCCTTAGGGTCAGTTTGGTATTGTTGTGTTGTTGAAAATTTTTACTTTTGTTGTGCTGTTAGTTAGTTTTTTTGCTGTGACCAGAAATATGCAGGTGTTTGGTAATTTTTTTTAAGTTGTTGTGAATATCAGAAGCAAAAATTTAGGTGATTGGTAAACTATGTACAAAATTGTTGTGAAGATGTATAATGACTAAAATAGACATACTTTAGCACACATACTTATAATTAGTTTTACTTCTATTTTTATAGTCAATATTCATAATATTTACACCAAATAAAAAAAATATAATTTTCATTGTATTAATTAAAACATCTCTAAAAATAAATTCATTTATTCAAGGAGATAAATTATATATCTATAAGAAATTAAATAACGTAAAGAACTGAAGCTAAATTATTTTTCAAACTTATAACATTATAATAAAATATATTATTAAAATTTAGCATAAGATATTTATTAAAGATTTTTAATTTTCAAATAAACATTTAAAACAAAATTTATTTTTTAATTTGATTTGAAAGAAATAAAATGAGTTGATTGGGAATTAAGTTTTATTATTAGGCCATTTAAGTAAACTTGGATAATGATAGCAGAAGCTGCTGTGGAAAAGCAACTCTTAACCTACTTCTCAAATTTTGCTATGGGACAGTAATTTTTAAAAATTGTTGGATAAAAGTAAGTTTTGCCAAACACCCCATCCTGTTCTGACTTCTTAAAAAAAAAAAAAAAAAAGCTAAAAACAACCTCTAAAAGCCATGCCAAACGCACTCTTATTTGTCTAATTAGACTATGGTGGTAATTCCCTTTTTAACTTTCTATCTAAATATTATGTCAATGAATATTTGAATATACAATTTGTAATACCATATGATGATCTCAATTTAATATGTATGCTTATGCTTATGCTTATGCTTATGGAGAGAGTTTTCCATTGATCAACTTGCGATCATACCTTGTATTCTAATTTATTGTTAACAACACATTATAATCTCTATAATACAAATGATGCAGAATGAGCAACTTCTTCTTTTGGACGAAAAAGTCATCAGCAAATTAAACCGTAGTTCACGTCCAAGAATGAAGTTAACCTCAGGTAATTAAAAGCTTGTTTGCAAGCAATATAAATGGAAAACTTGTATATACTATATACCACACTAAAAGATATTAGATTTATACATGACAAAAGTTGGTTCTCATTTTATTAGACACCCATGTGATTCTAAAATTAATATTCCCATAAAATTATTACTTCTCAGCGACTTCATTTTTCTTTTTCTTTTTGTTTTTTTTGACGGAACTTCATTTTTTTTATAGCCACTATTTTATTTTTTTTCCTTATTTTAATATTTTATTCACAGTATATATAATTTTTTAAAAAATATTATATTAGTATTTAAAATGTTATTTACGTATGAAAAAAATGCTCTATCTCTAAAGCCTTCATAAAAAAAAAGGAAATAGATAGAGAAACGAGAACATTAAAATAAGGAAAAAATAGTAGTTGCCAGAAAAAAAATGAAATGGCTGAGATGAAATAATCTTATGGAAACATTATGGATAATTTTAGAATTATAGGGGTGTATAATAAGTATATTAAATCATTTTAAAATTATATACGGTGTGTATTTAAAAATGAGTGAGAAATTAAGAGTAAAGAGGGTTGAAAATCATATAAGAGACAGTTTTAAAAATATTTGTTATAATTGCGCTGTTAGTCAAAAGATATTATGACCAGAAGTAAATAGGTATTCGGTAATTTTGTTTTTTTTGTTGTTGTCAAAGTTGTTGTAAATATTAGAAGTAAAATTTTAGTTGTTGGTAAAGTATGTATAAAATAATTATGAAGATGAATATTGAATAAAATATAGATACTTTAGTGCAATAATTATATTCTTTTTCTATCACAATATTTTTACTCAAAAATACTAAAAAAATGTATTTTAAATTCTTTATTTTATTCTGATATATTGTTGTAAATTTCAATATTTTTAACGGTCATAATAATGTAATAAAAAAATTAATTTTTGATTCATTTATTTTTAAATATTTTATCATTATTAAAAATATTTGAGTAAAACTTAGTATAGTATATTCAGTAACTTCTAAACAAACGTTTAAAATATAAATATTTTAAATCATTAAGGAAAAATAAAATGGGTAGTTTTATAATTATATTTTACTATAAATTATTTTAATAAATTTAAACAATAATAATAATAATTGTTTTATATAAAATCAATCCAAGCAAAATTTACCAATCACCATGATCTCGTGTATATTTTTAGAGAAAACCAAAAGTAGCCTTAATTCAAACCACCCTATGTCGAAAATTGAAGGGCACTTTATTTCCTCGAAGCACCTCCTTTCTTCAATTGGCCCCTTTTTTTTTTTTTTTTTTTTTTTTTTTTTTTTCAATTAGACCTTTCTGCGCATACTTCGCAATTTAATGGGAAAAGTTCGTTCCCACGCCTTTACAAATTACAACTTGAAGACCTTTTTTTTTTTTTTTTTTTTTTTTTTTAATTTTAAAATTTTAATTAATTAGCTTTTCTTCATTTGGAAAAATAGGAAGTTAAAATAAATCATTGTTCGATCCAATAACACGCCACACATATAGGGTGGCATCTCAAAAGTGGGGGGAAAAAAAATCTTATATATCACCAACATTGCATGTGCATAAAATTGATATTGCACGAATACATTTGCAAGTATGTTAACATCCTTATTTATTTTATTTATTTATTTTTTAAGAATGGTCAACATCCTTAACAATTAAGGTATTTGGTGTGAATGCAAATCTACCAATGTACATCTCTCTCTCTCTCTACGTACGTACGTATTGTAATTGTAGGTAAGATGTATATGTCTGTAGATGTGTTCATACATGAATCAATCAACCAATAGGACTTGAATTTCAAATTTTAACAACGTGATTTAAACATGGGATGTATATAAGAATGATTGTGGAATTATATGAAATTCGGATGTTAAAAAGAAAATAATTTTAAATATTTAGGGGTTCCTTAATAAAAATTTGGGGTGTACATGTAATTTTCTTTTTTTTTTTCTTTTTTTCTTTCTTTTTTTCGGCCTCCATCTACGTATTCAATGCTCTCACTTTTAGAGTTTAGAAAGGTCCAAGAAGATTCTCGGTGCCCATACACTAGTTGATTCAAGGAGAGAAGAATAGTAAGATATATCAAAAATTTTGAAACGCTTGTTCATCCATAAATGTTTGCTTATTAAGTTAGAATTAAATAATTAATAAATATTTTATACGATAACATTAGAACGATTCTGATGGTTTTAGATAAATTTTACAATTTTTTTTTATTTTTGTTTTCGTTTTCAAAACATTTGTTAAATAAACGCAGTTTGTAAACCGTTTTCATTTTTATATCTCAAAAAATGTACAGAAACGTTATTAACAGTTCTAAATGCACCCATTGTGTTGCGTTCTTTGCATTTTTTTTAATTTGAAAATAACTTTCTCAAACAATCATCACATTCATCATAGAGAAACGAAAAGAAAACAATAGTCCTAAACAATCAGATTATTTTTATCAATCTCATCGCAGGTCACCGATCTTGCTAAATTGTCCACATAGCTCTTTGACAGAAGGGATCTATAACAAAAATTAAAAATATAAAATATAAAAAACCATTGTTAAAACTTATAAATCACAACAATATCATCAATCTAGCTTGTCAAAATAGTTATATAAGAAGTTTTATAATTGAATAGTGTAATACAAAATTAATGCCTAAAAGCGTACGTAGTAAATCAACACTAAAATAGAAATGATTTCTTGGAAGGTCATGGGAAAAAGAGGTAAAGATTTCACTATTTCAATTTCATTGACCAGCTTGTGAAATCAAGAAAATGAGAACAAAAAAAGTACCTGGTGTGGATTGACGTTTACCATGACCACAAAAACCATCACCTTTTCTGCCGTGTGGCAGAATTAAACTTAAAATAAGAATTTGATCAGTTTATTTGATCAATTTAAGTTTAAAATTTAAATTTTATTATAATAAAAATTTCTTATAAATAATCATATTTAATTTTTTTGTTACAATAAAAATTCTCACATAAATCACATCTCAGTTCAAATTAAAAACTCGAATTAACAAACTAACGCCCACGACTTTTTCTCCCAGATAGTTTTTTTTTTTTTTTTTTTTTTTTTTTTTTTTTTTTTTTTTTTTTTTTTTTTTTTCTTCT